GCCTCTCTAGGTTTGGAAAGTTTTCTTGCAGGATTTCATGGAATAGATTATCAATGCCCTTATGGGTTTCCTCACCTTCTGGAATGCCAATTATCCGGATATTTGGACGTTTGATGGTATCCAGTACTTCTCGCATATTATTCTCAAATTTTTGTGCCATTTTCTCAGTCTTCATGGTGGATTTTTCTAGGCCAGCCATTTTTTCCTCTACATCTGAGATTCTATTTTCTGAATGATCTAGTCTGCTTTTAATACTTTCCAGGGAAATTTTTACTTCTTGTATTATAGACTTCATCTCTAGCAGTTCCGTTTGAGTCTTTTGTAAAGTGTGTAATTCCTCTTTTAGATCTTGCAGGAATTTCCTCATCTCTTGGAACTCGTCAATTTCTTTCTCCTTTCTCTTTAGCAGTTCATTATCTCTCTTCTCTTCCATCTCTGTTAGCTTAGACATTATGAATGATCTGAATTCCTTATCAGACATTTCCATGAATTTCACCGAACTGCTAGTGGATGAAGAGTTACTCTTTTCCCTAGGAGAGGAGGCATTTTCTTGTTTTCCCATATTTCTCGTGATCCAGCGGTGATTTCTTGTCATCTGATGAATGTTGTGTTTCTTTCAAATTCTTGAAGTGCAGCCTTAATGTTCAGTAGCAAGCAGACAGAGATGATCCAGAAACTCTTTGCTGTTCTGTTGTGCTTGCGCTAGCTCGTTTGTTGGAGGCTGAATTATTAGTAGAAAATCTTCATTCCCTTAAAAATCTAGTTCACTGTAGCCATGTGGAACCTTGTCTTCTCAGGACTGTAAGTATTGAAAGTGTGTCATGCTATGAGTGGGTGTGCTGTTATTTTTTTTGGAGAGGTTTTTGCTATAGAACATGTGCGCTCGCCAGAAAGACAGAGAGACAGAAAGATAGAAAGCAAGAAATCACCCCCTACGAGAGATGGCCATGCTGCAATCCCTTCTCCTCCATTCTCCTCTTGGGATCTTGGGCACACACGCACACGCACCTGGCATGAGTTTAAGCCACCGGGTATGGGACTCGCACTACAATCGGCTACATGGGAGTCCAGCAACATAGCCATTACGCCAACTGCTGGTCTCTGTGCTATAATTTCTTAAAAATAATTATTTTATTTCATTTATTATCATTATTATTTGTTTAATTTGACCAGCAAGAGACAGAGAGAGAGAAAGGGAAAGTGGGAAAGCAAGCCTCCAGGTCCGGGACTTGAACCCTGGTTAGCCATGTAGAAGTCCAACGTCTTAACCACCACGCCACCTGCCGGCCCTGGTGTATTATAATTTGACCTTTAAACACTAAGTGATCTTCAATGAGAGCAAACGCTAACATTTTCTTTTTTTAAATTGCAGCTTAGAATCACTGGAACTAAACAAACACACACATCTGGAAAACAGGTGAAAGCCTGCTGTCCTCACAGCGGGCGGGAAAATTCCAGTCTTAGGGTTTGGAGTGGTCTTTGTTTAAGAGAAATATTTTGGTAGGTTATTGAAGTTAGCAGGCGGGACCTGTAGTATAGGGTCATTGGTCAGGGTAAACAGGAATAATTGCTTAACTGGACTGCAGACGACTATGAGAGTTTTGTTTTGCTCTTAGGACAGAAAAGAAGAAGATAAAGAGAAGGCTACGATGAGACAGAGACACGTATGTCTCCACTTGGCACATACCAACTGTCCACACTCTGTGGTAGAGACCGAAAGACTGGAGGACATAAAAGCATTGAAAATCGTTATGGACACAGGGGACAGAGTGGAAGGAGAGTGGGAAGAGTGTAGGAAAGGAAATTGGGGGGAAAATAAGAGAGGTAAAACATTTGTGGGACACAGATAAGGTTTATTACCTGTTGATGAGGACATGTACAGTATTCTCAACTGGGCTGGACTGGGGTGCACATCATGCTGGGTAAAGTCTCTTTACAACCTAAATGATATATAGTGATTGAATGTATAAATAATGATAATTGAAAAAAAATATTTCTTTCTAGGAGAGGTTTTTGCTATAGGGCGCGTGCGCTTACCAGACAGACAGAGAGAGACATAGAGACAGAAAGCGAGAAATCACCCCCCAGGGGGGATGGTCATGCCACAATCCCTTCTCCTCCATTCTCCTCTCGGGATCTTGGGCATGCACGCACATGCGCCCGGCGTGAGTTTAAGCCACCAGGTCCGGGACTCGAACCGCAGTCGACTACATGGGAGTCCAGTGACATAGCCATTACGCTAACTGCTGGTCCCGAAAAAAATTATTTTTAACAAAAGAAGAAGAAGAAGAGGAAGAGGAAGAGGAAGAAGAAAAAGAAGAAGAAGAAGAAGAAGAAGAAGGAGAAGAAGGAGAAGAAGGAGAAGAAGGAGAAGAAGGAGAAGAAGGAGAAGAAGGAGAAGAAGGAGAAGAAGGAGAAGAAGGAGAAGAAGGAGAAGAAGAAGACGAAGAAGAAGAAGAAGAAGAAGAAGAGGAGGAAGGAGAAGAAGAAGAAGGTCACTGCTGCATAGACAAGAAAGACCAGCCAAAGAGAGCTGGGGCAGGATGAAGAGCTAGTGGCAGCTTCTCAGCTGGAGAGCAGCTATAGAACACTTTTGAAAGGGTGATGGTTATGGTGTAGTTTGAACTCTGCATTTCTGTGGTGTAAAGCTGTCCTTTTGGAGCAGATCAGAAATATAATCAGGCTGTGGTGGTTGAAGTGGATGGATCCCACGTGGCTGACTGAACGATTTAAATCTCAGACCTAGCGGTTTGGGATTGTGGGTGGCCGTCCATCCACCCCAATGGCCACATTGCAATCCTTCTCCTCCATTCTCCATTTTGGGCACACACACACACACACACACACACACACGTGTCTGATCTGTTTTTCAAGTCACCAGGTCTGGGACTCAAACCGCTGAGTCAGCCATGTGGGATTCAGAGCCTTCACCACCACTTTAGACCACACCATCTGCCAGCCTCGTTTTGCCTCTTTCTAAGTTTAGTATAAACTATTACTGTATGTCTTGTAGGGTCTGTGCTGGCAGATTTGGGGAAATACAAGTACTCTGGTAATTCTTGGAGAATAAAGTACAGGTGCTTCTTGGCTTCTAATGGGGTTATGGTCAGAACCCATCATAAATGACAAATAATGTACATACAACTCTGCTGCTTGCCTAGCCTCTCATTGTATCCTAGACATTTAAATATATTTGTAATTACCTCAGTAGGGATTGAATTCAATAAATTATGGTACAATCTCCATGTATATCCATACAATGGCATTCTGTATAGCTAGTTAGAGACCCACGCTAACTTGTTCAATTCAGTCTCTATTTGTGGGCAGTTACTTTGTTTCTAGCAATTGACTATTAGAATGATGTTGCTGTACTCATTGCATGGGAGCTTTTTTGCACATAGGCATTAGTCTTCTAGGAAGAACGCCTAGAAATGAAATTGCTGGGTTAAACAACACAAGCCTTTAGAATTCAGACAAATGTAGCCAGATAAGGCATTAGAGAACTCTCAGGAGTCTTTTTTTTTTTTTTTTTTGAGAGGTTTTCGCTATAGGGCGTGTGTGCTCGCTGGACAGACAGAGACAGAGAGACAGAAAGTGAGAAATCACCCCCCAGGGGAGATGGCCACGCCGCAATCCCTTCTCCTCCATTCTCCTCTTGAGATCTTGGGCATGCACGCACACGTGCCCGGCGTGAGTTTAAGCTGCCGGGTCCAGGACTTGAACCACAGTCGACTACGTGGGAGTCCAGCGACATAGCCATTACACTAACTGCTGGTCCCTCAAGAGTCATTTAACAAAATGAGGATACTAGTTCATAACTCATACTTCTGTCATCAAATTTAAAGAGGTTTATATTATGTGGGGTAAATGGAAATTCTAGTTCAAGAAATGAAAGGAATTATGTAATATTTCTGTTTTATTTACCTAAATGGAAATAAGAGTACTAACAGGGTATGTGCACTCACTAGAGAGACAGAAAGACGGAGAAATCACCCTCCGGAGGAATGGCCATGCTTCAATTCCTTCTCCTCCGTTCTCCTCTTTTGGGCACGCACACACACGCTTACCATGAGTTTTAAGTCACTAGGTCCAGGACTCAAATTGTAGTAGACTACATGAGAGTCCAGCAAAGTAACTATTGTGCCATCTGCTGGTCCTCCTTTTTATATTTTTAGAAATGGTGGTGAGTATTGATCAGCTAACATATCTGTATGCCATTGGGTATGTTTAGAATAATGAATAATTTAAACATTTTAAAATGGCAATATGTTAAAAATGACACCATCTCTAATTCTTTATGATGAAAAATTGTATTTGTCAACTGCGTTTGGAGATACTTTTTTAAAAAAATTATTATTTATTGGGGCCTAGCAGGTGGTATGGTGTTTAAGAGCACTGGACTTCCACATAGCCAACCGTGGTTCCAGTGCCGGACCTGGCAGCTTGCTTTCTCAACTTCCCTCTCTCTCTCTTTATCCTTCTCTGGTCAAATAAAATAAAATAAACACATAAAATAAAGCTCAACAAAATAATTTTTTAAAAAAAGAAAGAATTATTTAATTATTTTTAAATTTTGACCAGAGAGAGAGAGAGCTAGCGGGTCCTCAGGTCCGGAACTCAAAAACGTGGTCGACCCTGTGGGAATTCAGCGCCTTTAACCACCAGGCCACATGCTGGCCCCTAGTGACACTGTTTTTAAACTTCTATTAGGTATATGCGTTACCCAGCCACTGTCTAGAAGACGCTACTGAGGAGAAGCACTTGTTTATCCAGCATCTTACCTAAATTCATACCCTATACTACCGCGCGGTGGGAAAGGATAAGGGCATTTCATTGGTACTCTTCCCTGGTCCTGCTGGGAACAAAATTAATGGAATCAACCAAGCTGCGCGTTTGGGGCATCACGAGCATGTAGTATCCGGTTCCACCAGCAGGTGGCACCCGTGAAAGGCTCCGGGGCGGGCCGCCGACCACGCCTCTCGGTAGCCCTGTGGCCTCTCTCGGCTTCCGTTGAGCACCGAGCAAGATGGCAGCCTCCGAGACGGTTAGGCTACGACTTCAATTTGATTACCCGCCGCCAGCCACACCGCACTGCACGGCTTTCTGGCTTCTGGTGGACTTGAACAGGTGCCGAGTCGTCACTGATCTCATCAGTCTCATCCGCCAGCGCTTCGGCTTCAGTTCTGGGGCCCTCCTAGGCCTCTACCTGGAAGGGGGACTCTTGCCCCCCTCCGAGAGCGCGCGCCTGGTGAGGGACAACGACTGCCTCAGGTGCGCGCGGCGCGGGGGCGCGGGTCCGGGGGGCACCTGCTCAGGCTCCGGGGCGCCGAGGGCGGAGAATGGGGAGGAAGTGAGGCTGTCAAAGTGCTCTCCGTGAGTCCCGGGGACCCCAAGGGGACCCCTAGTCGAGTACGGAGCTCAGGAATCTGCATTGCAGCGTGCATCCTTCCCCAGGATGCTGCTGATTAGGGGTGGGCCAAACCTGGAAAAGCCCTGGCGCTTATGGGCAGGGCCACTGTTTCTTCCAGCCTAGTTTGGCAAGGCCTCCTTAGCCAGGTACTGTGTGCCGTGAGCGTGGGCAAGCGCGCCAGACACCAGGCTTTCCCCGCGGCTCTTGTGGTCAGGAGCCGGAGACCCTGATTAGGGGACTGTCGGGTTTTCTTCTTGACGCCCAGGTTGCCAGCCTTCGTTTTCTGTAGTGTTCCTGAGGCTTCTGATGGGTGTCATTCTGAGTGTATCTCACTCGGGCATTTTGGGGTTCACCCAAATAGATGTGTCAGTCCTTTAGGGTGGTGAATTGGAAAATTTACAAAATAGCTTAAAATATGTTTTTGGAAGTTTTAGAAAATGATACTAAGTATTAAGGTGCAATTATAGTATGAATGGCTGGCAAGTGGTTGATTGGCTCAGTAAGATGGCAAAATGATTATCGCAGTTCAGATTTTTTTTTAATCATTTAATTATCCAATTTATGATCATTATTTTTTTATTTGACCAGAAAGAGACAAAGAGAGCGAAGAAAAGTGGGGAAGCAAGCGGCCAGTTCTGGGACTTGGACATGGTCAGCCATGTGGGAGTCCAGTGCCCTTAACCACCATGTCATCTACTGGCCCCATGCAGTTCAGATTCTTATCTTGGACTGATTCATTTGTCTTTTTTTCTCGTAATCTTACGATAAAGTGTATTAATTCCAGAGATATGAACCAGACTACTTTATCTTGCTTGCCTTTTGTTGAACATTCCGTTCCACAGAGCATGTTATATTCATAAACTTTCTTCAGAACATCAAAGAATTAAATCCAGAACAATGACTACATCTTTGAGTATGTCTGTTTTTCAAGTCAGGAACACTGTGATTTATTAATATTCAACTGTTTCAAACGACAGTTTTTAAATAGTCCAAATTTCTTTTTAATTATTTGTTTGTTTGTTTATTTACTTTTTTTCTTTTTGGAGAGGATTTTGCTATAGGGCGCATGCGCTCACCGGAAATACAGAGAGAGACAGAGAGATAGAAAGCGAGAAATCAGGAGGGATGGCCATGCCGCAATCCCTTCTCCTCCATTCTCCTCTCGGGATCTTGGGCATGCACGCACACACGCCCGGCGTGAGTTTAAGCCACTGGGTCCAGGACTTGAACCGTGGTCGGCTACATGGGAGTTCAGCAACATAGCCATTACACTAACTGCTGATCCCTGTTTGTTTACTTTTTTTTTTTTTGCCAGAGGCATGTGTGTTCTCCAGAGAGAGAAAGAGAGAGAACCCCTTACTGGGGTACTGGGGCATGGGCACATTATAATCCTTTTCTTCTCTTTCTCTATCTTGACAGGATTTGGGACACACATAAACATATAGCTGGTGTGTTTTTCAAGCCCCCAGGCTGGGATTTGAACCACAGTTGACCTTGTGGAATCTAGTTTTATACACGCAGTACTTAACTGGCCCTGTAATAGTCTAAATTCAGGAAGAGTTCTTTTTCTTCTTTATTGCCTGTGAAACAGGTCTCTATTGTCTCTGCAGTTTAAGAACTATTTAAATATTACAGTGATAAAGATTGGTTCCTTCTTGTTAAGTTTACTTTTTGAACTGTCTCCTGCCTAATGAATTAATAACTTGCTACCAGCTAACTATAATTATATTTCAATTAATGCACCATCTGAAATTATACTCTTTATAATGAAGTTAAAAATGTCAAAAACAAATCATGAAAACAGTTGTAATAATGACAGCTCCAGTGGCAGGCAGATTCCTTCTGAATGCTTCAACTGCATAATTGCATTTTGCAAGGCATACATCTGCAATTGGCCTCCGTGGTAAATGGGACAGACCTCTGGAAAGAAAAAAACACAAATTTGTTAAAGTTTTATGTCTGTTGCCTTATGCCCCATTCTATCTTCCTGTGACAGCTTCATTTCTCTTTACAGCTGCAGAAGAAAACTCAGTCTTGTTCTCAAAGGTACTATCACATTCTTGAAGTAACCCAAATCAGGAGTCTCATGCTATTGAATATTCTTGGGTGATATACAGGCAATTAAACTGAACAGGTAGACCAGGGTATGCTGGAAGTCCAGAAGATGACAGAAAAGTGAGATCAACATAAAACAAAAGTCGTCAGGGAATTCAGTACATTGAAGGGTGTGTAGAAAATGGTGGGTGGCCAAAGCACAGTAGAGGCACTAGCTAGCCTGACTCTTTTTTTTTTTTTTTAGAGAGGTTTTGCTATAGGGCATGTGCTCTCGCCGGAAAGACAGAGATAGAGAGAGCAAGAAATCACCCGCCAGGGGAGATGGCCATGCCACAATCCTTTTTCCTCCATTTTTCTCTCGTGATCTTGGGCACGCACGCACACGTGCCCAGCGTGAGTTTAAGCCACTGGGTCTGGGACTCGAACTGCTGTCGACTACATGGGAGTTCAGCGACATAGCCATTATGCTAACTGCTGGTCCCAAGCTAGTTTGATTTGGTAAATGGATGAGTCTGCCCAGCAAAAGAATTCTGTTGGGAGCGCTGGGAGTACTGAGAGAAGTCTAACGAGGGAAGGTGGAGCCAGATTGTGAGAATCCTGAGAAGTAACCTTGGAGGCTCCAGAGGCATCAGCACATTGTGCCACCTCCACTCCCACGTGTCCCATTCTCATAAGCCCAAGGATTCCGCCTTCATCTGCTTCCAGGGTGCTGACAGTGAGCTCCTAAAGATGGTCTACAGCTCTCCTGGGAGGAGGAAGTGCTCCCATTTGCCTGGAGCCTCCTACATCCTTGCCGGGGCTACTGTAACAAATAGTTCTGACAGGTTGTGGGGAGAGGAGTCCCAGGCTTGGTTTCTGCAGAGGCCTATCCAATTGTGTTTGTAAATGGCTGTTCCTCTCTCTCCTTCCTCTGCAGCAGTTCGGCATCTCTCTGTCCAGATCTCCAAAAAACACCAGTGAGATTGGATTAGGGCCTCCCTAACAGTCTCATCTCAACTTAATCACCCTTCCACGACAGTCACTCTCCAGCATACTGGGGGCTAGGGCTTTACCATGAATTTTAAGGGGACATAGTTCAGCCCATAACATCCCTTGAAGAGGGCTTCACAGGGCCTGGCCACGGCAGCTGGTTAGAAGGGCGACTGAGCAGAGTGGAGAGCTCTCTGCTGAGGGATCCCGTGAGAAACCAAAACGCAGGCTCCCCCCCCCCCCCCCCATTGCTTTAACTCAGTGTGCCGTTGGATACTTGATTAAAGAGTAGAGATGAGTTCTTACTGCATATCGCTTAGCGGCTCTTCGGATATGTAATCAGGCCCCTCTGAAATGTCTGTGAGGGCTGGCAGAGGGAGTGGAGGAGAGAGTGATCTGGACTGAGTGCGATTTGATTCCTGAGACATCGAGGAGCAAAGATGGCTTTTATTGAGATTGGCCAGCCCTGTGCAGCTCCAGGTCTTGCTGTGAACACTGTGTCACCACGATGGGGTGGCGGTTTCAGGGCTATGCAGTACTGAGCTGCTCTCTCGTAGTAAGGAGCATGTTCGTCTAATGCCTATGAGTAAATCGAGACCTATAAAGTTAGGCCTTGGCTACTTTCATTTCCAGAACGTGTATAATCTTGTCCTTTTTTTTTTTTTTTTAAGTTTTGCCGGAGGACACATGCATTTGCCAGGGAGAGAGAGCGCGCACAGTCCTGTGGGACAAGGTTATGCCACAGTCCTTTCTCCTCTACTTCTCTATCCTGGCAGGATTTTGGGTGTGCGTGTGCACATACACACATGCCTGGTATGTTTTTCAGACTGCCAAGACTGGGGTTTGAACCACAGTCAGAAAAAAAAAGGTTAGGCTCCAGTTCCTTAACCACTGTGCTACAGACCAGCCTACGTCTGTAATTTTGTATAGCAAAATCCTGGAAGTGAAATCACAGATTTAAAGGGAGTACTAGCATTTTGATAACTGTCCAATGTGCGCTGCAGTTTGAATGAGAGACGAGTAGGTGGCATAGTGATTAAGGCGCTGGACTCCCACATGACTGACTGTGGTTCGAGTGCTGGACCTGATAGCTTGACACTCAGTGCCAGTGCATGTGCATGCCTGCCCAAAATCCCTAGAGGAGGATGGAGGAGAAGGAGTTAAGGTGCGGCCATCCCCCAAGGGGATGAGTTCTCATTTTCTCTCTGTCTTTCTCTCTCTCTCTGGCGAGCACACACGCTCTATAGCAAAATTCTCTTAAAAAAAATAAAAGAAGAAGAAGAAAAGAGTTTGAATGAAAAGGAGAGGGTCTTTTTAAAAAGTTTCTTGGAAGCAAATCTTTCATCAATAATTACCTAGCTAATTCATTTCTGTTTGTGCAAGGACAACTATATTCACTTTTGTTTGTAAAAGGAAAACCTCTGTGATCCATATAGAGAAATGAAGAACATTGGCAGGAAAAGTGTTAGGCGTGAAAGGAGTGTTAACTGGGCCAGCAGGTGGCATGACGGTTAAGGGCGCTGGACTCCCACATGACTGACCATAATTTTAAGTCCCAAACCTGGCAGCTTGCTTTCTCACTTTCCTTCTCTCTCTCCATCTCTCTCTGGCCAACCTAAAAAAATAAATAAATATAAGGAGACCACCAGGTGGCCTGGTGGTTAAAGGCACTGGACTCCCATATGACTGACTGCAGTTTGAGTCCCAGACCTGGCAGCTTGTTTTCTCACTTTCCCTCTCTCTCTTGCTCTCGCTCTGTCCCTCTAAACAAATAAACAAACAGTTTTTTAAAAGTTAAAATAATAAATAAAAAGTTAAAATAAAATAATTCTTAAAATAAAATAATGAGGGACCAGCAGTTAACATAATAGCTATGTCGCTGGACTCCCACGTAGTCAACCGCGGTTCAAAGTCCTGGACCTGGTGGCTTAAACTCACGCTGGGTGCATGTGCGAGCGTGCCCAAGATCCCAAGAGGAGAATGGAGGGGAAGGGATTGTGGCATGGCCATCCCCCCGGGGGGGGGATTTTTCGCTTTCTGTCTCTCTGTCTCTCTCTGTCTGGCGAGTGCACACACCCTATAGCAAAAACCTCTCCAAAAAAAATAAATAAATAAATAAAATAAAATAATGACAATGAATAGAATTTTTTAAAAAGTTATTTTAACTTTATTTATTATTATTATTTTCCAGTTTGACCAGAGAGGGAGAGGGGGAAACTAAGGAAGCTACCAGTTCTGGAACTTGAACCATGGTTGGCCATGTTGGAGTAGTGCCCTTAACCACCATACCTCCTGCCTGCCCCTCCTACTTACCAGCTGTGGATCTTGGACAAATCGAGCTTTAATTTTGTGATCTGTAGAGTGATGATACTACTTTATGGGTGGTGTTTAGGTCAGAGAAAATATATGGAAAGTGTTTGGGATGTGGTAGCTATTCAGTAAATAAAATTAGCCATTCAAGGGCTGGCCCTGTGGCCTAGTACTTAAGGGAGCTGGGTCTTATATGGCCAACTGTGTAGTTCAAATCCTGGCCCTAGTGGCCTGAAAAACATGGCAGGTACATATATGCACATGCCACAGATTTTCACAGGATAAAGAAATGGAAGAGAAGAGATTTTGACAAGACTCTGCCCCATTGGGGGACACTTTCTCCCTCTCTGTCTCTGGCGAACACATGTATTCTCTGGCAAATTAAAAAAAAAAAATAGCCTTTTAAAAGTTGACTCTGGGGGCCAACAGATGGCATGGCAGTTACATCTCTGGACTCCAATATGGCTGACTGTGTTTCGAATCCTGGACCTGGTGGCTAAAAACTCAAGCCAGGCCTGTGTGTGCATACCCAAGACTACAGGAGAAGAAGGGACTGTGGCACGGCCATTCCCCCGGGGGCACGATTTTTTTTTTTTGCTTCCTGACTTTCTGTCTCTCTGTGTCTCTGGCAAGTGCATGTGCCCTATAGCAAAAGTTTCTTTCAAAAAAAAAAAAAGGTTGACTGTGGTAATGATATATAGACCATTTTGTCAAAAAAAGCTTTTGTCCTTAAGTGGTATACACACACACACACATATGTATTTGTTTATTTTTACTTTATTTGCTTTGTCCATAGGCAATAGACAAAGAGACAGTACCCCTAACAGGGTCTGGACATCGTGATCACCCCCAGCTTCAGCCAGTCCTGGATTATAGGCATGCATGTGCATAGTGTACTCAGGGAGGTTTCCACACACAGATCTGGAAATCTTCTCATGTGGGTCAGCCTCATAGAGCATCTTGTTTTACCACTGTGTCACCGTCCAGCCTGCAAGGTCATTTTTTTTTTTAATTAAAATTTTTTTAAATTTAACTTTATTTATTTATCTGTTTATTCTGATTTGACCGGAGAAGGACAGAGAGAGAGAGAAAGAGAAAGCAAGCTGCAGGTCCAGGACTTGAACCATGGTCAGCCATGTGGGAGTCCAGTGCCTTTAACCAGCATGCCACCTACAGCCCTGCAAGGTCATTTATTTTTGTATTAACTTATGGTACTGACTTTGCAGAGTGATCAGTATCTAACGGCATCCTGGAGACATGCTTATGAATTGCTCACTCTAGCTTTCTGTCTTGTTCTTTCAACAGAGTTAAACTAGAAGAGAGAGGAGTTGCTGAGAGTTCCGTAGTAATCAGTAACGGTGATGGTACGCATTTATCACCTAGGAAAGCAAAGAAGCGGGCATTTAAATTGGAGGAGGATGAAGAAACTGAACTAGATTACAAATATTCGAAGAAGCATTGGAAGCGGCAACAGAATAATAGCAATAGTGAGAAGGTTTTGGATCTGGAACCAAAAACTGTCACAGATCATACTGCGAGGAAAAAAAACAAAAGGAAAAACAAAGCAACCTGTGGCGTCGTAGATGATGATGATGAAGAGACCAAAAGAAAATCACCAAAGAAAAAGGAGAAATGCGAATATAAGAAACAGATGAAGAATTCCAAAGCTCCTAAAGCGCAGGCCGTG